GAAGGCGGCCCTCCTCCATCATCTCCGATCGTCAAGCAACCGGCAAATAGATTGCCGGGAAACATAAAATTCAAAAAACTCAAACTTTCTCTCACTAGAAACTCAGAGTTTCCCTCACTAGAAAAAAACCGCTTAGGTTCCTTATTCCTTTTTTCCTTAGTTTCCTTGTTAGGATTACAACATTGACATTTAGAGACTATATTAATACCTTTCATCAAAAGGATAAAATCTAAAGTCAAGAGATTATGTAAAATCCTCCAAACAAGAATAGAGTAAGAGGGAGGACTACTGTCATGCAAAATAGTAAAGTAAAAAAAACCTTTAGGATACGCTTGCCTGATAGAATTCCAAACATTATTGAGTAGCAAATTTAACATCATTAGAAATATTAAAGAAAACCATATCCTTAATATCCAAAAGAATTGTAATATTGATAATGATATTGATAATAAAATATGAAACATAATCGATAAGTAAATCAATATTCCAAATACCATTACAAAAAAATCATTAACTTTACAACCAGAAGTGGAGTGAGAATTGAATTGGCTGTCAATGGAAAAATTATCCAACCATTTGTCTTGACATAAAGAAGAATTCCTAGTTCCTATACCCCACTAGATAAACTCCTCGGCCTCCCATTTAATGCAACATAATCTTTTCCCAATGGAAAAATCACCTTATTGGAATAATAATTATAAAGGTGTTTCTCGACGCAATACTTAAAGACCATAAATTGGACCACAAACTTTTATTAGATCTGAATGCAAAACATAGTTTATTTAAAAAGCCTTTCAACACATCAATCATGGTTTTAAAACCTAATCTCACTTCATTAACAACCCCAGCACAATTTTTTCAAGACCCCCACAAAAAAGCATGTTTACTTTCTTTAGCTCCCAAAAAAAAATTAAAAAAAGTCTGCATTCTATGGCACACATTTAAGGTAGGGAATAAGGTTTGGAGAAAATATATATGGATATAATAGAGGGCGTGTTTGATAAGCGTGAGTCTACCACCATAGGAGAAGAAATAGAAAACCCAAGAAGAAAGTTTTTTATGAATCAGACTAAACATGTCATCAAATAAATGAGAACATTTCTTATCCTTGTAAAGTGGTGTACCAAGGTATTTCATAGGTATTTTTTTATGGTTAAACTCAAATTTTTTTTCAATACTAGAAATCCTCCTAGGGGATATTGATTTGGTAGGTATAAAGTAGCTCTTAGCTTGGTTGAATATTAACCCACTAGCAAGCTGAAACTTGTTGAGCAATTTTAAGAGAATGTAAGGCATTTTAATAGATCCATTAGTAAAGATAATGAAATCATCAACAAAGCTCAAATGCATAATAGGATAGTCACCAACAGTTCTAAAACTCCAATTAGGGTTTAATGAAAAATAATGTATGCTTGTGTTAAATGGCCTGTAAATGATCAACTTGGTCAACCATGGTCCACCATGGGCTTCACTGGGTATAAACATAAAAAAGGAGATGTTTAAATATACCTTAGGAGATGTTCCTAGGGTTTAGGACGAGATCTAGCCCAAGAAATGCAATGTGTATATGTTTAGGGCTTAATGGGTTCCATGGGCTTCATGATCAAAGTTGGTCAACAATATTTTGACTAATTTTACCAAAGGGGAAACCTCTTATGAGATGTATTTGTAAGAGTTTAGTTCATTTCCAAGAGTATAAGTTTATTGTTCAAGTCAAATTCCACATTGAATGGTATAGTTTATAAATATAATGAAATTGGGTTTCCACTTAGGTTTTGAACCATGGAAGGGCTTAGAATGGCTTTGGGATGGATCTAGCATAACATAAAAAGGGTTTAGAGGATATTAATCCACTTAAGCTTGTCCTAAGTGAAAACAATATACTTCTCTCAAAGTTTCTTATAGGTTTTGTTTACAGTAATGACACCTAAGCACTTAAGGCAATGAAGGAAGGAAATTTTTACCTCATTAAAAAATGAGGACAACACTCTATGATATGAACATGAAATATATTTTGAAAATGTAATAAAATACACATAATTAAAATAAAAATGAAGTAAAATTTACATAAATCAAATAAATTCATAATCTTATGTAATTACTCTATCTCTCTTGGGATAGAATATTTACATTCTTCTTAGACTTGAGATATGTTTAGCAAACTTATTGCTGTGTTAGGGGAGGATGTTGGCTTTATTTTTGGAGGTGGAGTTGGTTGTAAGGACTACGAAGAGTGGAGGTGAAAGGGGGAAACAAGAAACAAGTAAGAAAACTACAAACCCGGCCGTCTCTAAGGTTGTTGGGAGATCCGATCTCCCTCTCCTAGGGATCTCTCCAAAGTTCTCTCCAAGAACTCTCAAATGTTTTCAAAACACAAGTGCAAGAAAATTCTCATAATAATAATTCATTCATTCATTAATCTAAAAATACAACAACGGGCTATACATATAGCCTAGTACAAGAGAAGCATGAAAACAAAAGACACAATTGCCCTTCGGGCTTACAAACGACATCACCCACTAAAAGGGTATAATTGGAAAACCAAGACATAACACTAAAATAGAAAAATACATAAATACGAAAATAACTCAAAAGTACAACGACTCGATCGTGGCCGTAGATCAGTGGCCACGTCTCTTATAAACCTTCCATGTGCTGATGTCCCCATCACTTACAGACTGTTCTGTGAATGTAAATGGTCACAGACCATGCATAAACCAGGCCAATCAAAAACCCTTTGTGAAATCAGGAAAATGTTAATCAATTGTTCCAATAAAAAACAAAATTTGCATGGCCATTTCAACTTAGAGCTACTTCGTAGATTCTTTAGAAGGATTAGTGGATAACATTGCCAAATCTCCGAAAGAGTAAAAAATAGAGGTGGGGTGCTGGAGCTTCATCACATGGCATGCCTTTTTTACTATAAGTAGGTGGGTGAAAAACTAAAGCACATTGCCAAGTGGCATACCCAACTCCAAATCAGTACTCCTCACTGCTGGCACATGAAACTATACTAGCATCTCTTTACTTACAGACTGTTCTGTGAATGTAAATGGTCACAGACCATGCATAAATCAGGCAATCAAAAACCCCTTTGTTAAATAAGGAAAATGTTAATCATTTGTTCCAATAAAAAACAAAATTCGCATGGCCATTTCAACTTAGAGCTACTTCGTAGATTCTTTAAAAATTAGTGGATAACATTGCCAAATCTCCAAAAGAGTAAAAAATAGAGGTAGGCTGCTGGAGCTTCATCACATGGCATGCCTTTTTTACTATAAGTAGGTGGGTGAAAAACTAAAGCACATTGCCGAGTGGCATACCCAACTCCAAATCAGTACTCCTCACTGCTGGCACATGAAACTATACTAGCATCTCTTTAAAGGCGAAACTAGGCAAATTATCACTCAAAATTTTCTATCTTTATCGACATCCCGATAATCAATTATAAAAGAACATCAACACTTATCATAATCATCGGCAAAAGCACTTTAGGGCAACAGCACTATAATTTAGGGCCAAATCACACAATTATCTCACTTTGCATAGAAACTATATTTGTATTGGCTATGGCAAAATTTACAAAAGATATTCAAAATGAAGTGACTCGGTGCATGCTTTATGAAGATGGCGTAGTTCTAATTGGTGAGATGTATGTTGATATTAATGGAAAGTTAGAATAATGAATAAAATAATTAGAAGAAAAACATATATATAATTAGTATAATAAAGATTGAGAATGTGAGATGCATATTTAGTGAGTGAAAATTAACAATCATCAATCAAAATTTTTAGAAGAAAGAGTGATCATAAGTTATGATAAATTTAAACATCTTGAATATATTATAAAGAGTAATAAGAATATAAATGAATATAAGGTTTAGGGCTGATAGAAGAAATGAATTAGTGCCTCATGAGTATTATGATATGAGAGGATATTAAATTTGAAGCAAATTTTATGAAACTACAATAAGGTTCATTATGTTGTATGGATCTTGAGTGTTGGACAATAAATTAAGTCACTAATAGCTAAGTTGAGTTTAATGGATATAAGAATGATAAGATTAATGTGTGACAAAACTAAGAAGGATAAGTTAAGCATTGGTTATATTAATGTAATGATTGGAGTAGCAACTATTGACAATAAGATAGTGAAAATAGAATTCGATGATTTGAGCATGTAAATTGAAGGGCAAAGAATGCACCCATTAGATGAGCAGATAAAAATATTATTAAAGAATTAGGAGAAAAATGTTATACATAAGGTAACGTGGATTGTTGTTCAAAAATATTTGCAAATGATAGATTTAACATCTCTTGCAATGCTTAATTAGAATATAAATGGATACGTAAGTTGAAAAACCAGCCCAAAATAGTCCGCATAAAGCTAATGAGTACGGAGATCTCACTTTATATAAAGTTTTATAACTTGGCCTAGTCCTCTTCCTAAAGCACAAAAGAGGGAACAGAAAAAAAAACATCCTCATAAGTTTTAGCAATGAAAATATTAATAAATGAGAGAAATGTTCATAATAAATGTGTGGCACCTTCAACCAGCCAAGTCAAAACTTCTATCTCCCAACTCTCCTTCCTATCTTTTTCTCGACATTTTAAAAAATAATAATGGCGCCTGTGTGCCCTACACTAGGAGGATATAGTACCTGCTAACAGCAAGGAACTTAACAGAAGGGAAGGTTTGCCAATATAAATAAGACCCACGGCATTTTTTTATGGCTTTAATGAGTATGATCGCTCTGCTTGATAACTTTATTTTAATAGGAAAATGGTTTAGACATTGAAAGGAAAAAAAAAAACAAGAGAATCAAGACATTTGGGAATTCCTTTGAATAAGCTAAAACAAACAGGACAAAAACTGTTTAACACTGAATTTACCATGAATTTCTTGTTCAGATACTAGATACGGAAGCTACACAATAGAATCACTGATCATGATCAAACGGATAATAAGAAAAATAAAAGTAAACGTGATGATGATAGGCCTCAAATTTAAAAATAAATACCTCTTCCAAACTTCTTGCCTTCCAGGTCCATTACATCATAGCCAAGTGCATAAATAATACATTTTCATTTCATCTGAGAATAAAAAAACGGTGGAAAGGCTATAAATTATAATCATGATTGTAACACAGAAAAGATGTAAAGAATGATGGAATCCCATAGATTTATTCATAAGAAATTAAAATTATAAACCAACAAATTACATGCCAACTGGCATCAAATATGAGCATAATGTATGATAGACCAAAGTATATGAATGACAGAATCAAGTACAACCCAATCTCAATCATAAAACATTTCCGTAGTTTCCTACAGCCCACTAAAGAAAAAACATATAAAAATAAAAATAAAAAGTATGTAAGATATCAAAAGAGTAGTGTAATTTTATCCTAAAACCCCTTCACTTCATAATAAATTAATTTATTTTCCACGAATGACAAATTTGTAAGGCATTCTAATACTCAGTGATATAATAAAAGAAATTAAAATGAATAAAATAATTATTTAATGAGGTTTTTAAAATCAACATTCATAACTTTTCAATATAGATCATCTCCATTTGTCCATGCCAAAATAATTTCTTAAAATATACTTTATATTTAAAATATGTAATAAGAAAAAATTGCATAAAAGTACCTTAGAAGTATATCTTTCAATTGAAGAATATTCACTCTCTTTGAATGTATTCCTCTTTTCTATCTCTAACATAGGGTTGCGCACTCTTTCTTCCTCGCTCCTCTCCCCATTGGGATTGTGTACCCATTCCCACAAGTTACATAATCTCAACAATTATTTTGGGGTGTTCTCTCAATATTATTTGGTATCAGCTCCTCCAAAATTACCCACACCCCCTGCTGAACATTTTAATTTTCAATGCATAGGAACTATACAAACTAACACTTGTTAGCAAATATGAAATCTGAATGCAGAATCAAGTACAACCCAATCTCCATCATAAACATTTCCGTAGTTTCCTACAGCCCACTTAAGAAAAAACATATAAACATAAAAATAAAAAAGTATGTAAGATATCAAAAGAGTAGTGTAATTTTATCCTAAAACCCCTTCACTTCATAATAAATTAATTTATTTTCCACGAATGACAAATTTGTAAGGCATTCTAATACTCAGTGATATAATAAAAGAAATTAAAATGAATAAAATAATTATTTAATGAGGTTTTTAATAGTAAAAGACAATCAACGTTCATCAGTTTTCAATATAGATCATCTCCATTTGTCCATGCCAAAATAGTTTCTTAAAATATACTTTATATTTAAAATATGTAATAAGAAAAAATTGCATAAAAAGTGCCTTAGAAGTATATCTATCAATTGAAGAATATTCACTCTCTTTGAATGTATTCCTCTTTTCTATCTCTATCATAGGGTTGCGTACCCTTCTTCCTCGCTCCTCTACCCATAGGGATTGTGTAACCATTCCCACAAGTTACATAATCTCAACATTTATTTTGGGGTGTTCTCTCAATATTATTTGGTATCGGCTCCTCCAAAATTACCCCCACCCCCTGCTGAACATTTTAATTTTCACTGCATAGGAACTATACAAACTAACACTTGTTAGCACATATGAAATCTGAATGGCAACCAAGCCAAAATCAATAACAACCCTTTCCTCCATATGCTGAAACATTGTAGATTCCTTGCTGAAAGATGCTATTGTTCTGCTACTTTGTTTGCTGAAATTTATTTGCTAAAAATTTTGCAGCTGCTAACTCTCTTTGGCAAGTAATATGATAAGTTGTGTGCTTCAACCTTCAAGGAACTGCCTGAAGCTGAATTTTCTTCGCTAAATATTGGACGCTATATCACATCCCTATTGTTCCTTCTCACCTATACTCATTTCTCTGCAAGCGCATGCAGCCTCTCATACTACAGCCAACCCAATGCCCTGATTCATGCCACCAATGATCCACTGATTTAGAAAATGATCACCAGCTGAAGCTCTTTGCTAATAAAGTCTTCAGATTATTTTGTTTCCCAAAATGTTTCCATGCAATATCTCCAAAATGGTGACCGAAATCTTACCAAACCTAGAGAACAAAATTTGCTTAATCAACTTTTCCCCAAAAAACCAAAAAAAAAAAAAAAACCTTTCAATAATCATTAAAACTTTATCATTCTTAATCTTTGCATCATATCTTTCTCAATTACTTCCAGTACTTTATTCAATTCAAATTCTATGTCAGCTAAACCCACTTCCTAATTCTCTTCATCCCTCAAATTATTCTCATCTTAACTAAATAACACCGCAACTGACTAATCCTCCTTCCCATGACAGCAGCTCTTCTCCAACTCTCACGATCTCATGTTTTTCTTCTAAAATAAATTGTTGTCAATAAACGTTGTAGAAAAAGCAAAGCTCATTATATCAGTCCTTTTCCACCTCTTCAACTCACAATAGCAGGTTACCTTCCAGTTCATTACTTCAAAATATAGACCCATGGGATCCCTCAATGTAATTCTAAGACACTTGATCATCTGCATGCGACCAGGAATAACACATCAAAATGGATTTGGGATGATGATCCCTTAGGTCATTATATGCCTTCACCCCTCCATATTATAGGTCACTCGTCCCACTCTACTATGTCATCACTTTTATCTCAATATTCATGAGATGATCTATGGGTCTTGAACATAAAGTATATACCCATAAGAAGTTTTAGCTCACATCACTATCCTCACACATATAATAAAATAAACTACAAGAACGATCATAGCCTGCTCAAAATGATAAGTATCTTAGATCCTAATATACCCTGCCACAAGAGAGCACCTATGATTTTGGAAAAAATAAGAAACCATACCATTTCATTCCAACAATCAAAACCTAAAATAAATCATCCCAAAAAGTGACTCTAACTAATACTTGATTGTTAAATAAACAAACTTAAACAGCCATATGTTCAGCTCATTTGTGTTCACGAACGATATCAATTAAAGCTCGATAAGAAGCTTGATTAAATATTTACTTTGTATATTTTCACATAAATTTTAGTTTTATTGTAATAAATTATTCTTATTATGTAAAAATTAATTGCATTTTTATGTTATACTATTTCAATACAACGTTTTAAAAGGCGAAATCGGGAATCGAGACGTTTTGGCTAAGCGAGGCGAGGCGTAAGCCTAAAAAATTATAAAAATAAAGCAATTTAAAATTATGAATAATGAAAAAAAATGTCAAAAAATAACAAAATATTACGTCAATTGTGAATTTGATGATTTGTTCTAAGATAACATTAGTATATTACTTGAAAAGAAGATTTAAAATAAACTCACTTAAAAATAAAATATCCCTTTAGGATCAAGACCCAATGCAGGCTCATCATCACTTTGATTTTCTTTAGAAGAATCTTCATAATTAATGCCAAAGTCATCATCAAACTTTTCTTCATCTATAATATTTTTTCCTTTATCCCCTATATCAATTAATATTTCGTTAACTCTAGAATGAAATAATAATAGCATAAAAAATAATTCATTATATTTAAGAATACCTTTGAATTTTTTTGAAGCTCCAATCTCACTTTGTTTCTTTCTTTTATATACATGAGTAGTTGCTTTATTGTCTTCATTGAGTTGAGTTTCTCTTTCTACTTCAACTTCAGAAACATCAACATTCTTAGGAATAACCCATTCATCATCAGATTGTAAATCATCAACAAGTAAAGTGTCAATTTCATTATCAATGCTGCCTTGCTTCTGTAATTTGAGATGTCTATCTTTCAGTTTTTTGTTAGTTAAACATAACATAAATAAGTTTGTTCATTTGATCTGTGGCTAATCGATTTCTTCTCTTAGTATGAATTTGATTGAAGATGCTCCAATTACGCTCGCATGCAGAAGCCGAACATGTTAGGCTAAGAACTTTAACTGCAAAAGCTTTCAATTCAGGAACATCATCTCCAAACTGACTCCACCAACGTTCTACATGAAAATGAATCAATATTTTATAAATATTGATTGAAGTATAAGACTTGAACATAAATATTAAAATTAAAATTATAAACATCCCAGGAGATCGTATTTTGTAACCTGCTTGTGCTGCTCTAAATCCAAACATTCTCTTCTTCAAATGAAATTCCTCAAGTTGATCATTCACTTTGAGGTAGTTTTCTTCAGAAATGAGTCTGTCCATACATGCATACAAACCAGTTTTTACTAATAAAGTCTTCAGATTATTTTGTTTCCCAAAATGTTTCCATTCAATATCTTCAAAATGGTGACCGAAATCTTACCAAACCTAGAGAACAAAATTTGCTTAATCAACTTTCCACAAAAAAAACCCAAAAAAAAAAAAAACCTTTCAATAATCATTAAAACTTTGTCATTCTTAGTCTTTGCATCATATCTTTCTCAATTACTTCCAGTACTTTATTCAATTCAAATTCTATGTCAGCTAAACCCACTTTCTAATTCTCTTCATCCCTCAAATTATTCTCATCTTAACTAAATAAAACCACAACTGACAAATCCTCCTTCCCATGACAGCAGCTCTTCTCCAACTCTCACGCACGATCTCATGCTTTTCTTCTAAAATAAATTGTTGTCAATAAAGGTTGCTGAAAAAGCAAAGCTCATAATATCAGTCCTTTTCCACCTCTTCAACTCATAATAGCATGTTACCTTCCAGTTCATTACTTCAAAATATAGACCCATGGGATCCCTCAATGTAATTCTAAGGCACTTGATCATCTCCATGCAACCAAGAATAACACATTAAAATGGATTTGGGATGACGATCCCTTAGGTCATTATATGCCTTCACCCCTCCATATTATAGGTCACTTGTTCCACTCTACTATGGCATCACTTTTATCTCGATACTCACGAGATGATCTATGGGTCTTGAACATAAAGTATATACCCATAAGAAGTTTTAGCTCACATCACTATCCTCACACATATAATAAAATAAACTACAAGAACGATCATAGCCTGCTCAAAATGATAAGTATCTTAGATCCTAATATGCCCTCACAAGAGAGCACCTATGATTTTGGAAAAAGAAAGAAATCATACCATTTCATTCCAACAATCAAAACCTAAAATAAATCATCCCAAAAAGTAACTCTAACTAATACTTGATTGTTAAATAAACAAACTTAAACAGCTATATGTTCAGCTCATTTGTATTCACGAACGATATCAATTAAAGCTCGATAAGAAGCTTGATTAAATCTTTACTTTGTATATTTTCACATAAATTTTAGTTTTATTATAATAAATTATTCTTATTATGTAAAAATTAATTGCATTTATATGTTATACTATTTCAATATAATGAATTTGTTCATAAACAAGAGGTATTTATTCATATTTGTAGTATTTTTTGTTTAAAGTGTTCATGAACAAGCTTATTTATAAGAAGAATCATTTTATGAGCTCGTTTGTTCGTGAACGAGCTCATTTGATAGATCTAAAACACTCCCTATATATGTTCGTGAACGAGTTCTAAGTTATTATTTGTTAGTAGGCTCGTTTGTTTAAAACTCAATAAACATAAATGAACATAACATGAATCAAACACAATCCAAACATGAATATATGCTCTAATCAAACTCCTAATAATAGTGTTTGCCTGAGAAATGCACCAAGGGCTATAGCCTTACCTCACTTGAGCACCTATGGGAATACCTAACTGGCCGACTCACCTTTAACAACATTGTTTGTAATTTTCACAAGCATAGTTCATTTATCAATTAATAAATTAATTTGAAAAGCCTAACCTGAAAATTAAATCAGCAACCCTCATAAAATTTTATGATACATTATGCAAAAGACGCAAATGGTAGGAGATGCCTTAAGGTACAAAAAAGTATATATTAAAAAAAAAAAAAAAGACTGGCGGTGGCCTAAGTTATCATGATAAAATTTCATTAATTTTATAAAATTATAAGTAACAATCAAATATCAATAAAAGAATAAAACCACACTTTATAAATCTAATTATCTAAAGGTCAACAAAGTTGCCATTGCATTTAACTAGATTGTGCAAAAGACCAATAAGAAAAACCATTTCTAACTAGATTCACTTCAAGACAATAAATAAATATGATAACCAATTTGACAAACCCTCAAGAAAGTCATGCCAGAATCTATGAAACAAGGTGTTTTAGTAAACCCATTCACTACATGTGATATTGCTGATCTAAATAAAAGCACATCCTGATTAAAGTTACAATTATACAAGATAGAACATTTTAAGGAATTTATATCAACATTACAAATGAAATACCCTAAAAATTGTAGCAAGCATCAACAAACTCTACTCAGGTATTGCCCGCTTCTGATAACATGAAACCAAAGAAGAACACTCCTAAAACTAATGAAATAGATCATGCGAGCATCCTGGAATCCAAAAAAGAACTACTAGGTCTTTCTATTCAGGAAGGTACATGTCCCTCGGATAAAACAATCATGCTGAAATATTAACCTTGCAATTAAAAAATCAAAATAAAATCATCCCAGGTTGTGCGAGGCAGTGCTTAGATGACCTGAGTGAAGTAAATGAAATTCAAGCAATTTTTTGCAGGGTTGTGAGCCATGAATATGCTATCGTTGGTTTGAAAATTCAAGCTCTCCATTCCCATGCACTAATGCCTAACTACTAAAGAAAGTAAATTTTCAAAATTACCTCTTTTGTCCAACTTGATAACTTCAAGAACTGAACAGAACTCGAATTCAACTCGCACTTAGCACGCAAGACTTTACACCTCTAGCAGCATAAGCAAGACCCTTCAAAAACGTGTAGCAGGGTCTCTAGAAAAACCAGGTTGACGTAAGCAGTTCCCTTTCCTGCCTAGTCAGTAGATAACTGTAAACGATTATATACAATCGCAAAATCCATTTTTAGAACTAACAAATAGGATCTTCCGGTTTAAGTGCGCGGTAGATTTAGGCAAGAAAACCCTAGTCTTCCGTAATAAAAAATGATTTTAAAATAGAACGTACCGGGCCGATCCGCGCTTGGTTCGGAACTGATTCGTTAATCGAGTATGGATCACGAAGCAAAAGAAAAGAGAGGAAGGAACAAGAAAAATAAAACCTAGAGGCTGGAGACAAGGGGAAGAACTCACGCAAAGGTTATAGATTAAGATTCGTGAAAGCTGCCCTTTCGTAGTTTCGTTGCGCGATGATTGCTACGAATTCTCGACTTCAATGGGTTCCCGAATGCTAGGGTTTCTTCTCTGACAACGAAAGATGGGTCATCAGCTCTTCCCGTTTTATCGCCTTTTACGCCGTTTTTATTTATTAAATATATAAAACAAATATATATTCTTTTTATTTAATTTAATAACTTTAATTATATATTATATATTAAAATATTACATTTATTTAGTCATAATAAATGGGCCAAATTATAATCTTATTTAATAATCAAACAAACCGAAGAAGCAGGCATATCTTAAAATTTAATTTGGAGCAAACACGGAAAATTGAATTCCCGTTCACTCCAAAAAATGATATCCGGTTTCAATAGAAACTGTAAAAATATTATAAATGTCTTTGTCCTTATTGCGGGCTAGAATATACGCGGTGGTAGAGTTAGAATTTTTTATCTTAGAATTATATAGATTTCCAGCACATAAACAGAAAAAAAAAATAAAGCAACAAATTTTTACGTGGAAACTCAGGAAAGGGAAAAATCACGAGGTCACGTCCAGTTGAAAGAATTCCGCTAGTGTTTGCTTGAATTACAAGAGGCTGACTCGCACTTAAAGTTTAGGACTATCGGATTATAATAATCAACTCCCGGGTTAAAATTCAGTTGCACTCGGATATCAGAATTCTGGTATCCGTTGTTTGTCGAAGAGAGTTATAATGTTACTTGACAGAACTCCGGCGTCACTTGAAAGTCGGGCAGAACTCCGGCGTCACTTGAAAGTTGGGCGGAACTCCGGCGTCACTTGAAAGTTGGGCGAAACTCCAGCGTCACTTGAAAGTCGGGCGGAACTCTGGCGATGGTCGAGGAGGAGCTTCTTCCCTCCTCTTCTTCTTTTCTCTTCTTCTTCTTACTTGGGTTCCCTCTTATAATGCAAGCATAGGCATGGTGCTTGTACATCATCTATCAAATTTATAAAGATAGATTTTCATGAAGGGGTGATTAAAAGTATATACTTTACATGCACTTCTAAGATTTTCATACGTTGATCAACTATGAAACTTTAAAGTGGTATTGAGAGTGGAATGCATTAAACATGTCCTTTATCTCTTAACGCTTGACTTAGCGATCAATAATGCTTATGATCTGAGTAATATTACATTATTAAGAGAATCAGCAATAATTATATTAATTTTATATTTCATAAATCCAAAATATTTTATTCAAAGTGTATCAATTACTTTGTTATTGATTTATTGAAGTGATTGAATCTCCACCAAATCTAATTTTTTTATTGAGTAAAATAATTATTACAGTTAAAGTATAAATTATTAGTATTTACAAGTAAACATTATTCCTTGTGGGATCGATACTCTACTTTATTATTATATTACTTGATTCAGCACGTACACTTGCGGATATTAAGAGAAGTTTTTGTAATTTTTATATTAAAATAAATATAAGCATTATCTGGGGATTGATAGTGCCCTAAATCATATTCGTTATTTATAATTTTTTAGGTTACTCCATCGTCCCCATCAAGTTTTTTGCTCCATTGCTTGGGAAGAATTTATTTTATTTATAAATTTATTATATTGTTGAATTAATTACATAATTAGATCTACTCTTACTTTACTAATAATTGCATATTTATATTGTATTGGTTGTTGTTGTTGTTTACATTGCATTTGGTGTTGTTGTTATATTAATAGTTAAGTCATTAAGTTGTATTTATATTACTTCATTATAGCGACGCAGCGCTTGATATCACAGCACCACAGCACTTGCCTTGATTTTAGTATGATTCCATAAATTGAGATTTAACAGCTTTTAAAAATTATATAAATAGTGGCAGACAAAATCAGTTATTAAACAATTTGAAGTTATTAGTTAAAAGAATCTTACGGATTGAAAGTCACATTATTAGTTTTTTGGTAAGCATCGTGGCGTTGAAATTAACGTCGCAATGCCACATTAGTTTCATCGCTGCAGTATTAATAGCACCGTAGTGGTCAAATTGACACGATCGCTGCTGCACTAACAGGTGGTAACTCCGCAGTGATAGCCTGATTCCAAAAAGTCATTTTGATTTCCAAGAACCAACGTCATTGTGCCACCTGGCCTGACCCGCTGCATCGTTTAAATTTAACCACTGTCATTTAGTGCATGCATTAAGTGCCACGTCGCCATACCTTGCAGCACCATAGCACTTTGACATTTATAAATTGGCATCTCATTTTCATTTCATTTCTCATTACATTCCATCCAATTTTCCTCTATACTCTTAAGCTTTTCTCTTTAGCAATGGCCCCAAAACCTCTAGATCAAGGAAGAAGCATGTTGCCACATATTATAAAACTAAATTTGTTTTTGAGGTAGTTGATGCTAGATATACAAATTGGGTAATTACTAAATCTTCTATTCTTGAGCATGGCTTCCATAATCCAACCTAACCAATCCTTCAAACCATTTATGCTAGAGGTTGGGTTCATTTTTGTGAGGAGTCATTTGCGGCTATTGTCAATATTATGCATGAATTCTTTGCTATGGAAACGAGACTGTTGATGTAAAATTGTTTTGTTAGAGGGAGATGGATACCTTTCGGTTATTCCACTATTAATAGAATTCTTAAAGTATAAGTTATGGAAGTTGATGATGCACCTTTTGATTCAAATAAATTATGTACCTGTTATATGGACCAAATAGTGGAGCTATGTGGAAGACTATAGAAGAAAGAATCATTAATTTTTCTGCCTCCTATATACTCAAACCTCTAAGGTATGGTACTATTTCTTATCTCCCTTCATTCTCTCTAATAGAAATATTAGTGAAGTAACTAAGGATAGAGCCCTCCTAAATTTTGCCATTTAAAAGGACTACACTATTAACATTGGAAAGTTGATCATGTCATCCCTTACAGATTTTATGAGGGGATCTACTTAAGTAGGTCTAGACCATCCTTCTTTAATCTATGCTCTTTGTGTAATGGCAATAGTGAAAGGTGATCAAAATGAAGATTATTTATTCCCCATAATTGCTCTCACTATGGGTATAATTTTGAGCTTTAAATAATATGGTAGAAAAGGGATGGATCCTAATGAGCCTAGGTCTTTTGGAGGGGTAAGGAGCAGTAGTAGCATGAGGAGTGCCAGGACTCCCAAATCTTTAAGTGGTCATGTAGCAGATTTGAGTGGGAAGATGGATAAAGTGACCCAATTTGTAAAGAAATTGAAGATTGGTAGTTTGAAATAAAGGTGTGAATGAAACATACCATGGACCAGTAAGAGATATATTATAAATATGCATCTTATTTTTATGAGGCTCTGGTTGGTAAATTCAGAAATAGTCCATTTGTAGAAAGGCCCTATTAGTATGAGTTTACATCTGCCCTCAGTATCGACCCTTTGTGTGACAGCCTTGAGAGAGAAATGAATAGCTGGAGGAAAAAGAAGAAGACCTTGATTCTAAGGGGTAGGATTGAGAGAGAGAAAGGGAGAGATTGATGTTTGTTTTATAGCATTTTCATTTATAGTCTGACTGAAGACTTTAAACTTAGTGATTCTGGGAGGTAAGCCTTGTATGTGTGATGCTAGTCTAAGATATAATGATATGTCCTATTTTATTTTCAATACATATTTTATTCTTTTTTATCACTCATATGAAAGTATGTGTTTATAATGTTTGTTTATGTGTTTATTTACATATTAGCAAATTTTCTTCATATTTAAATTATTATTGTCCTCTCAATAATTTTAAATTATGGTTATTTAATTAACTATTATAAAAATGATAATTAAAATTTGTAAAAATTAGAATAATAATAAAACCCTAGATCCTAGTTTAAATGAACTCTATTTATATTTCATAGTGAAAAATTTAATATTTAACTCATTCAACCATTTGAGCCATTATCCTAAATTGAATTCATAAGTTATACCCATATAAATTTAATTTTTAAATTATAAGATGAATAATTAGTATTAAAAATCAGATATGAGTATATTAAAATTTTAAATTATAGTTAACCTTAAGATGAAATTAATAATCTAATCAAGTCCATATTTTAAATTTATTAAGATTCTATGAGAATCCTAAAAGGAGAAGCTGATATTCAAAATTAGTAATTATGTACTCCATAAAAGAAAAAAAGAAAAAGAACTAAAAAAGTTCTTAAAAAGAAAAAATAAATGAAAATTTTCAAAAGAAGAAGATGAGTCTATTAAAAAATTAGCATAAGTGAAAGCTTAAAGATTTGAAATTCAATATTATACAAAAATTATAAAGGATAAGATGAGGAAGCTAATACAATGGATGGTGAATTATTAAAAGTAAAATTTTAATTATAATCATATCCAATTATTAAAATTACATTATTCACATAAATATTCAAAAGATAATGATTAAATCTATAACATATAATTTTAAATTAGAAAATAAAAAATGCATTTTCCAATGATTATAACCTATAATGATTGATCAAGTTTAAATATTAGTATTTTCTAAACTATAATTATAACTTTGATTCATTTTTACTAATTCTTAAACATGACGTATTATGATACATTATAGTAATTTTAGATTGCCACTTTTTATTTTGGTTAATGATTGATCAGAATTACAAGCTTTTATGTGCTTAAGGACAAGAGAGAGTTTAAGCTAGCGAGGATTTGATGAGTGTAAATAATGTCATCTTTTATGTATTAATTTATCAATGAAAATATATGATTTTAATTATTTTTGTGCAACAAAATATAGGAAATATGCAAAAATTTTAAGTATGGCACATCTCTACGACATTGGGCATTATACCGTCGCATCGCCATCATTGATATCGTTGGAGCGCCCAAAGATAAACATGGCGGCGTCCAGTCTCTATTTGACAGTGCCACAACATCAGGTCTTCATTTAATGCACATAGTGGTCATGTGTATAGTTAATATCAATTGTAATGTGGAGCCTAAGAATAGAGAGATATATACAACTAGGTATGTTGGATTGGTATGATGCAAGCATAGGCATGGTTC